GAGGCAGGTAACGAGGTTCTGGAGGCATGATTTCACTCTCCCGACACATACAGTCATCTGTAATCAATTTATTTCCTGTAATCAATCTTGAAGAACGGCACCCTGGGGACAAGAGGAGCGCAGGGTCACCCCAGGGAAGAAATGCATGGTCTCCCCTAGTCTCCTCTGCCATGAAATCCTCTCCTTATCCCCAGTCCTGTGCTTTCTTGTAACACTGGAGGTTTCTTTGCTTTTTGCAATTTCTGCCTTTGAAAGATCTGTACACCTTCGTCACCTTCTCTGAAAACGTCTATAATTAAAATCTATTTCTGAAATATTTATAGATGCCTAACATGGGCCTTTCCTGCTATTTAGAATCATAAGATTGTGTTTTTTGTTTTTTCCTAATTAGGGAAGCAAGCCTATGGGAAGCAAAGCAGTCTGACCCTGTGCCCTTACAGCCCTGTGTATTTCTCTCTCCCTCTGTTCTCCTACCAGCCAGGACTGGAATTGAGGGGACAGGTGATGCCCATTCTTGCCTTGATTGAAACACTGCCATCCAGTATATGTACGAATTAATCATCCTGCAATCGAATCTTCATTATTTTGTCAAAACACATTCCGCATCTGCCTATGCACCTGCACAACCATAATGAAATATGCCTGCATCATAGAATTAAGATAAGATAATGATATAGATGCTTGGTAAAATGGAACAGTGCAGAGTAAGTTTTCAATAAGGAAGAGACGATAAAACTCTTGGTTTTTCACTATAAAACAGAGAGTTAGGAACCACAGCTATTAAAGACAATTTAAGTTTTTGCTGTAACTCTAGAGGAAGTTGTATCTACCTCTTAGCAGTCTGACAAGATATCCTGACAATTTAAGCTAAAAGGTTAGTACCATGTGAGAGTTCTCTCTACTAATATAACTTAATACGAAGCAGCCTCAGAAGTACAGAAAATTGTGGCTACTCACCCCACACCTCCTATCTTCCAAATTCCCGAGCACAGACCAAATTCAACTAAATTACAGAGAGCCGTTTACAGAGACACACATGCCCACACATGCACAATCCCAAGATGAGTCGATTCCTGACCAAATGGCATCTCTAAGAGGGGGTGAGGGACAAGCAAATCGTGAGGATTTTCCTGGTGAGTGTGAGGGTCTCATCTCAGAGACAAGCTTCCCTGACATGTACAGCAATATTGCCTTGCTTGTCTCTCCTCGATACCGCCAGTGCCTGAAATTCACCACTGCTCACTCTGCGTATCATTATTTGCCCCCCCCACCCAACTAGGATGTAAACCCTCAGTGCTCAATTATTCATGTTTTTTTTTTTTAATGAATGAATGCATACATTTGTTTTTGCAGATTTTTTCCCCCTGGCTCCTGGGTTTCTGTCTGGAATTCTCTTTATAAAACAGGAAGAATACATTCCCAACTTCATCAGACATGGAATAATTAGTTTCCATTACTACCCAGTAGGGTATGGCCTGCTACCATCTCCTACTCTGGGTTATTTATTCACGGGGTTAACAGTTAACCCAAGTAAAGTTTATACTAAGTATAATTAGGAAAGACATTTCCTAGTTCACGTGGAATTTGTTGTTGAGCTTTGCTTTAGTTTGGTGTTTTGTTTTCTGCTGCCAGGAGCTATGTTTTTCTGAGAAATATCACCGTGCGGCCCCCTGTGAGATGTACCAGCTCCGTTTCAGAAACAGCCTGAAAATCAAAGCCGACTTTCTTCCAGAAAAGCATGATCTATCAGGTCAAAGTTCAAATTATTTCAAGGGAAAAAATTTATTTTTCACCAAGGTGAATTATTATTCTTGCTGTCATCCTGAGGTCTGTAAATCTGAAGGGTAATTACATACAGGATAACCACCAGCTGCTGTGTATGGAAGGCTAAAAAGAAAGAGATACATGTCCTTATAGAGACGGTGGGCTTCCTGAGGGTGGGAATTGTATATTATACTGTTTAGGTCCCACAGGGGTGGCTAACTCAGTGTATTACAGACCCAAGTAATATTAAATATGTTTTAAATGGTGTATGACGGCCTGGAATGTATTTCAATGCAAGGAAGCTTAAAAGGAGAAGAATCTCAGGGCTAGAGAAATGCCTCATGAGGACAGTGCTCGCAGTTCAAGGATGAGGACTTAGTCCGGAGCCCAGTACCCACCTGCCCAGCAGCTCATGCCAGGAACCCCAGTGCTGAAGGGCAGATGTGGGCAGATCCCAGGGTTTCGCTATGCAGCCGAACGGCAACCTCTTTACCTCATGCGTGGCAAGACTCCACACTCTGGGCAATGAAAATTGAGGAGTTTTAGACAGAGGTGGAGTTTGCTTCTAAAGCAGTTAGATTTTCAGGCTCCAAACACAGTAGACAAGATTGATAGCTGAGTCTCCCTAAACTCACAGCTGCCTAAAGGACAAAATGTTTAAAGAGGGACAGAAGAACACAAAACCTCCTGTAAAGCTGCAGCATTTTGAAGTCAAAAGTAATTAGTGACAATTCCAGAAATGTAGGATTATCAGTTTTAAGGTGCTTATTTCCTGAATGCTCCCTTGACAAACTTCTTTTATTCAAAGGTTTGTTTACACATATGAGGCATCCAGTTTGAAAAGCAGCAGCTTGGCACAAATCAAATTTATGCCACTTTAGATTATGACCCCCAGGAAGAAATCTTTTTTTTTTTTTTTTTTTTTTTTTTTTTGCAGTACAGTCCAGGCATAGGGAAGTGATACTGAACTTTCAAGAAACAGCACCCATGCTTCCCAAACACACTCCATTCTGCCATTTTCTACTCCATTTCACTAAATTGATTGTAGGAAAAAGCAATAACTCTCAGAAAGTCAACAAAACCATGCAAATCCTTCTTAATGGTCCCCACATCAACATCTGCCCTCTGGAGACCACACAGAAAATATTTTGGAAGCCTTAAGACAACAACAGAGTTACGCTTTTTGTGACTCCAAGTGCCTCCAACAGGTGCATAGCAATTTTGGTATTAAAGTAGCAGGCAAAGTTAATTTAATACCCCTGAGAGACCGGAGTCTCATCCCAGACCTCACTCCAGCCTCCCTGAAATCTGGCTACAGTGACTTCTTGCTTCTTGAAGATTATTTCTGACACAATTAGCACTCCAATTAGTCGAGTGCTTACACCACACATGGTTTGAGACTTTCTAACATACATGTGCTGGGTTTTTTTTCTTCTTTTTTTTTTTTTTTACTTATTCTTAGACATCTCAGTCATGTGAACTTTACGGCTTTACAGAAACAAATCCAATCTGCTCTTAAAATACTACTGTGTGTTACCAATACAGTGAGATGCCCAAGGGTCAGCCAATAACAACAACAACAGCAACAACAACAAAGCCAATCTCTCTGCACTTGCTGTATCACTCAATGCCAGAGCAGTGATACTATCATTTCTCTAATTAATTGATATTTTGGTGGTTTGAGCTAGGAAAAGGAGAATTCTCAACATTTGACCCCCAGCAGTTGCTGTGAGAGATATGTGAACAATTTGAATATACTAACAAAACCCAAAGAAGGCAAATAAAGTTTCAAAAAGAATTTTTAAAGGCAGGTCTGATCAGATGTCAGATGGCCAGCAGCAACTGGGAAATCAGAGAGCTTTTGAGCCAAAGACAGATGTTAAAGCATACAGCCAAGAATTGCATCTAAAGCCTGAATTTAGAGGGTCACTTTTAATTTTTTTACATTAGCACAAATTAATTGTATAAAGAGAAAGCTTCACCTGTAGGTTTTGTTTCTGTTACTCAGCATGTTTCCTTGCAAACCCCCTTCTCACCCGAATGTCCGGTCCCTCTCCTTGTCTCACTTCATACTCTTAACAGTATTATTGCCACTTAGACCCGGGAAATGAAGAGGATGAAGACTCTCCCCCTGCACTGGGGTGGTGCTTTAGGTTTGAATGCATGATGGGTCACACTCAGCCCTCTGGGTCACCAGACTGAAAGTGGCAGGTAAAGGGGGGGTTATACAGAAGAGGGAGCCTGCAAAGACGCCCCCCAAGGAAGAGCTGATTTGTCCCTGGACTCCGTCTTCCACTAAGACAATAAAAGTCCCAAACTACACAAATTAAGGACCCCTGTAGTCTCTCTCAGTTGAAGAGTCAGGGTTCAAATTAGGACAGAAGCACTCACACTTTTGCCTAGTCACTGATCTCCAAGAAAGAATGAGCAGCAAGGGCTGTAGCCCCTTTCAAAGACACCTGCATCTCTGACACCCAGAACTGCCCAAGCGCTTAACCTCTGAGTGCCTAGGAAAGAGTTTTGCATTGCTCTCTGGCTTCCCCCCACCCCTACCCCATTATTACTATTGCTTTTGCTCAGGTATGTTAGTAACCTGGACGGCTACAGCCACCTTGCATTCCCGGGACAAACAGGTAGCTGCTTCTCCGAGCTTTTCCTTGAATAGGAAAAAAAAAAAAAAAGTGTCCGCTGCCGCCTGACTGCACGCAGCTCCGGACATAAGGAGGTGGGGGGCAGCCCGCCCTTAGAAACAACTTGCCTGCCTCGCAGGGTGCGCCTGCCGTCCCCGCTGCGCCCCGCCTGGAATCGGATTGTCCCGGGCTCCTGCCGGCTTTCTGTGGAGAAGCGGAATTGTCCTCCACAAGAAGTCAGGCACCTCAGACTCCGCTCCTTTCTAGCTATCCTCACTTCTGGCACTAAGATATCAGCAACGTCCTCTTATGTGAAGAGAATGTCCCTCCAAATCCGACCTGCCCCCTAGATTGCACCTGCCCAAATCCGGAGCGGTCCGGGGCTTGCTGGACCCTCTGTCTTTGCTTACCCTCTGCCTCCGGGCTCCTTACTCAGCACTCCCGGTCTCCGTCTGCTGTTTTCTCACGCCCCCACCCCAATTTTACTACCGCGCCCCACTACAGAGCACACTCTCTGCCGCGTCGCTGGCGCGGTCCTCGGAGTGACCGCTCTCAGAACTACGTACAGTGCCACTCTCTCTGGTTAGCGTTCTTTGGGAAACTCACCTCCCTATGGAATTTGCATCCTCGGGGAAGGGGCTGGATTCCCAGAAAGCTGCCTCCAGGGACCGGTTACGGATCTCTCTCTGCCCAGTCTGTCGACCCCCTAGTCCCTCCCACTCATAAGTCTAACTAGGGACCCTCTCCTGCTTCCCGGGGCTCCGAGCGCAGCGCAGGGGTTTCGGGACCCTTGAGGGGGTAGGGGGGGGTGGGGGGGGGTGGGGGGTAGGTGGGGAGGGGTCGACCCTCTCCCGCCGGGGGCGAGGGGGTCTCGGGGGCACTTGGGGGGGCCCCCAGCCCCTCCCTTGGAAGGCTGGAAGGCCTGGAGTGAAGGGAGGGGCCGGGCGGAGCGGGCTCTGCGAGCGTCCGCCCCGCCTCGACCGCGCGTCTCGCGAAGGGCGGGGGTGGAGCGCACCGAAAAGGACTTAAGTCGGAGAAGTTTGCGCACAGCCTCATCTCGGGGACGAGCAGAGGCAGGCTCCGCTTAGGTGAGCGTCCCGCGCTTTAGAGAGCAGAGAGCAGCGGGAAAGGGACCCTTGCCTTCAGCCTTAGCTTACAGCCTTGGACTTTGAACCTATCCTTTAAAGAAGGCTTAAAGTGCCTGGAAATTGGGAGGGGGGCAAGAGAGCTTGCAAAAGACTAACCCAGTTTGCTCTCACATTAAACTAGGAAAGCGAGCCAGCCAAGCCCCTGGGTGGGCTGCACCCAGCAGCTTGCAGACCCTCCTGGTTGGAGAGGTGCGCGCACCTCACCCTGAGGTTGGCATCCCCTTCCCGGGAGATGCCCAGTGAAGCCTGAGTTCCTGAGAACGCCTGAGCTGTGCCCAGACAGAGAGAGAACTGCTGGTAAGAAGGGTCTGAGGGTGAGTGGGATTTAAAGATCTGGGGGGTCTCAGAAATAGCTAGAGGTGGTGGTGAGATTGATACTTTGGGTTTTTTTATTGCAAAATTGTAATTTGATTGTGATGTTAGAGGTTCTGATGCAGTCTGTTGCTTAGTCTCTCTTGCTTCACTTTACCATGATTAAAGAAAAAAATAGGCATCTTTGGAAGGTGTTACAGCTTACAATTTTGTGTTGAGGAGCTCTTCATAATATTGTGCATATGAATTTTCTTTCAAAACTTTTAGTCTCTATTTTATTGATTATTACAATTCTTAGACTTAAAGTTGTGGGGTTTTTTTCCTAATAGGTGTTTGCAGAGAATATCAGCATCTAGATAATGTGTTGCGTTGTTCTCAGTCTTGGAATGGTCTTAGAATTGAGTACAGTAGTGAATGGGGTTGCTTGTTTGGTCATGTTTTACAAAGAATTATTTTCCAACAATCATTTATGCATAGCAGCCATTCTTCACACCTATTAGGAAAAATCTGTTGTGTGCATAGTTTCCAAAAGAGCCCTCTTTTTCATGATGCTCTTTCCAAGCCTGGGTGAAAGACATCAAGAAACATTTCAACAAATTAATTCCTCTTCTCAAAACAGTCATTTTCCCCTAGGTCCAAGGAAATCCAAAGTCAAAAATTAACAATGCAGTTAAATTTGTCACCTATCATGCCAGCTTTGCTTCTGGAATCTACCTCAAAGCTCTATATCTTTAAATTTTGATATCTTTAATCTCACAATATATAGTAAATCAGAAAAGGAAGAAATGATCTGTAGGAGTCCATGACCACCTTTGTGGTTTAAGTGGCTCTGAGAAAACCCATCTAGTCAAGGATATTTGTTGAAATTATTGGGCAACTGAGACTAAAATGTTCAAAATAAAATGAAGGTTGACTATGTTCCTGAAGCTAATCTTAACTAGCCGAGTGTCCAGGTTTAAGTGTCTGAAACGATTGTAGAAGACAAGTATTTTATATAGTCAAGCCGGCTGACTTGCCATTAAGGATGAAGAGGGAATGCTTGTAATGCTATGATGTTTGTGAAATATAATTTGTAACAGCTTGTTGTTGGCCTAATACACTTTCAGTAGTTAAATAATTAAGCTTTGGAAAGCTGGAATTGCTGGTTTCATATGCTTCTGTTATGAGAGGAACTAGGATGACTGGGTTTGCAAAGTCCTCAGTTTGTCAGTATTCACATTCATTTCTATTCTGTTTTAAAAGAGCCCCAAACAACCCTCACCTGGGATTTGTTTTGGTTCAACAATGACTCTAGCCTACACAGTTAATTTTAAGAACTAAAACCATGAGAATAATACTTACCATATTGTAAAAGTGTTTTGTGTTGTTTATTGCTTATTGACCAACACATTGAAAATAGTAAACATGAACTCTTCATTATAACTGATCCACAGAAGCATATGACTAATCTCAGAGTTGTTGCTTATATGGAAATCTCAGGTGCTTATATGGAAAAATTAATTTAATATACATATGGTCTCTATTTCCTGGTTATTTTGAAGGTGGCAGATTAATAAAGATAGCCTCTGTTTCAAGCAATTAAAGAAATGAAGCTAAATATTAGTACAATCATGCCGTGGCATCTCTGTTCTCTACAAAAACCCCCTAGACTTTTTCAATGTTGATTAGAATAAAAATGCTATCTCTTGTTGGTGTTTATTAAAGTAAAGGTAAAGTGAGGATAAAGGGCCAGTGATGTTTCATTGATAACTTGATCTGGTGTTCTCAACTTGAGCCACAAATTAGAATCCCTGAGAGAATTTTTATTTAATGAAAGAACGGGGAGAAAAAGCTTGCCCGACCCTACCCAACCTAATTAAATGAGAATATCTGGGGGAGAGGTCTGTATATTGATGAACATCTTTAGGAGATTATAACATGTAACCATGACTGATAAGAATCAGCTGATACAGTTTTCCATAGTATTTGATAAAATCTATTAGTGTTGGAGGGTCTTGATGAACATAAATGCCACTTATTGAATTGCTGGTCTGATCTTTGGATTTCATAGATTAATGAATGTTGAAGGATCATGGTGAAAATAAATGTCATTTGTTGTATTGCTGGCCTATCCTTTCATTCCATGTATGTGATGCATATAACTTGATTTTCTAATTGGAAGAAAGATTTTATTCCTTGATGTTAGATGTTTAAATCATAACAGATACCAAAATAAGATTTTTCCCAGAAAACAAGCTCTCTGACCATCCAGAAAATGATTTAGTACATGAACTCTATCTCCAAGAAATGTTAAAAAAACAATGCCTTATGAAGCGAAGAATTTGATTTGCTTTTGCTAAGACCTATGATATACAGTGTGCAAACATGCACCTTTTGAAAGGGGAGAAGGAAAAAATTAAGAACCATTCTCCTTGGCATACCAAGTAACATTCTGGGTGCCGACTGTATTCTGGTATCTTCATACAAACCAGTTTTGTAAAGCTCATAATAAGCTTTTGAGGTAAAAAAAATACTGCCCTGATTTTATATATGATAAAATTGAGGTTCCATTATGCTAATAAACTTGCTTAATGCCACAAATCAAGTAAACTAAAAATGTACTCAAACCCATACCTTCTTATTGTGAGTTCAACTGCATCATTAAAAACATACATTGGATGAATATTTATGTCCTTAAAATTTTAAAGACAGCGTCTATTTGCAAGTGATATAAGGTAAGAGCAAAGATTCTGACATAGCTGTGCCCAGGCAAGACTCCTGGCTCCATCACTTTCGGCTGCATGAATCAGGCAAGTAATTCAACCTTTCTGGGTTAAAAAGGCTAAACCTATTTAAAAGATTTTATTTAATGTGGATTAAATGAATTAATATTTGTAAAGAATTTGGGTAGTTACTTTGTGCATAGTAGGCTCCATGTGTTATATATTTAAATACCATTTATTCATAAACATTTTGATTATTTATTAAATGCCAACTATTGATTCAAGTCTGACAGTACATAAAAAGTCATATCCTTGTCCTCAAGGATTTTTTCATCTAGTAGAAAATAAGCATAAATAAATAGAGTGATTATTTCACTCAGAAATTGGCATTTCTTCCATCTTAAGTATAATTAAAAGCATGGTTTGGTATGACAGCTATGTGTTATTCAATTGTTGATTTGATCTTCCAGAGTTCCAGCTGATGAAAACCCAAATGGTAATACTTTGTGTTGTTAAAATGGTCATAGGTTGTTTCAAATTTCATCAATACACAAAAATCATGTGCTTCTGGCCTCATTGTATAAGGTTAGAAAACTGATCTACGATGAGGTTACAGATCTTGAAATTTGTATTTTTCAAGTAAATCATGGGATTGGAACATTGAGGACGAATCAGTAGAAATGCCATTGCTTTATGTTCCTTAATACTGTTCAGTGCAATTTTCATGACTCAGTTTCCCCAAAGCAGTGTGGATGTGTGGGTTTAGAATGTAGTTCTGTCTTTATTCCTAAAGACAAAAAACCAATTTTTTAGAAAAGGAAATGTCCGTCAAAGAGCACAGTAAAAGTCCCTGGTCCTGGGCTGGTTTGGAAGCCCCCTTTCCTCAAACCCCGCTGTGCTTGCTAGACTGTGTCTGCAGCTCCACTCAGCTGCCTGACACCTGTGGGCACCTGTGGACACTTGAAACGTAAAACTTTGCCTTGTTCCGAAGAAAGTCTCTCCTTATTTAAAGAAAGCATGTACATTAGTGCAGCATTCTGTAAACATGGGTTAATTCTCCAAAAAAAAAAAAAAAGTACCTGGTTCAGTGCAATGCAACCAATATTTCTGTAATCAATATTTAACTATGTTGTTGCACTAAAATTTCTTTATGGCAATGTATGCCTCTTTTACATCTTATCAAGTCTAAAGAGTACTTTGAATTTCTAATGGATGCTAAGCTTTCTCACCAGCTCCACAGTCACCCCTTATTACTATTATCAAAATATTTTAATATTCAACCACATTTCAGTCCCTGTGTGTTGAATTCAAAACATAGCCAGAATAATTGCAAGCTCTGGTCTTGTCACCCTCTGTTCATAATTATTGAGTGCTTTCCAAGGATGTAGCCCCCTCTTCAGAATGTTATTTAAGAAGTTTCATGATATAGCCCATCTGACTTTTCCCCCATCAATGATAGGGTGAAAATCTCAGCAGCTCCTTAATTCCAGTTCTGGAGTTGCAGTTATACTAGAAAAATTGACTCCAAATTTAGAGTCCATCCTTCACTTTCAACCTTTTGCCCTTGCCTGTCAACCTCAGTTTACATTCTATTTCCTCGGTACTGGTGTGTGTGTGTGTGTGTGTGTGTGTGTGTGTGTG